TGCAGCAGGGCAGAGGAGGACAGTGTCCCGTCCACCCTGGAGGAACCGTGTCCCGGCCAGGGACGGACGTGTGACCCTGCAGCCGTGTCCGGAGAGTGCTACCGGGCCACGGCTCCATCCACAAGGAGGCGGCTCAGCCATGGGCCCACAGCACCGACGGGATTCAGCTCAGTGTACGGCAGGCGTCGGTCACTTGCACACACGTGTGTGGGGTGGGGACGGGCATTTGGGGAAGTGTGGCTGCCTCTCTGAAGACAGTTGCTGGTGGGCTGCAGGCAGGGCGGCTCCTCTGGGCTGGCCTCTGTGTCGCAGCACCAGGGCCATTGTTTGCTGGCGCGGTGCTTACGGCAGGGTGGGAGTTGGGTCCCGCGCAGCGCTGGGTCCAGATGAGGAGGTGCTGTCCCTGAGTGCAGCCCACATGTGGTGCAGAGGCGTCAAGCTGGCCGGGAGGCTGTGGGGCTGGTGCGTGTGCAGAGGGAGGGAGGCGGGACCGAGGACTCCGGAAGACAGGGTGTCCAGGGCGGGGTGGGCACCCCATCCCACCCCACCTGGGGAGCAGCCCCCGCAGTCCTCTCCATGTGCCTGTCTGGGGTCTCGGGGCGGAGCTGGGAGGGAGGGGCTCGCGGGAACGGAAGTGCGTGACAAGGGAGAAGTCTGCTGGCCAGGAGAGGGCTTCCCGCTGCTGTGCCCAGTGCCCGGACTGGAGCTGGGGTCTCGCCCGCGCTCTCGCCCTGGGACAGGGCCACACCTGCCCTCGAGCCTGCCTGGAGAAGCACCCTGGGCGGCTCCCACCGCCATGCACATGCCATGAAGTTAGGCCACAAGCCGGGCATCAGTGCCGCTTCAGCACCGTGACAGGGTGCTCAGGACGCTCGTCCCTACCAGCTGCTTAGTTCTGAGTCCCCTGGGAGGGCCCCAGTCCTGCTGAAGCCCACGCTGCCTCAGTTTCCCTTTTTAGGTGGGAGAGGGCATGGCTTTCTCTCCTCTGGAAGAACCAAAAGTGAAGTTAGAAATCCAGATGGCATCTTAGATGAATCTAAGAAGATCAGAAAGAGAACAGAAGAACTTAGAAACAGTACCAGCTGTGTAGGATGTCACACACGTAATCTCAGCACTCGGGAGGCTGAGGCAGAGGGATCGCTGCAATTCGAGGCTGGTCTCGGCTACATCATGAGATCCTGACTCAAAAAGTAAAACAAAAGAAAGTCCCATCCAGGAGATCTCAGATCAAAGCTCATCAAGCCAAGCAGAGCTGCCAGAGGGCTTGGGGTGGGAGTTTCACACCAGGCCTTGCTGGCTGGAAGGAAATCGCAGCTGTGAGGCTGGGAGCTGAAGGCTGGTGGGGTGCTTCGTCCACTGTCCCGAGTGAAAGTGCCGGTGCCCTCCCCAAAGGCGCATCACCTGGAGTGAGACCAAGTGGAGCAAGAGCTACAGCCCCTGCAGGCGAGCAGGCTGGGCAGTTGGTGCTGTGCTGGAGACTGAGGACAGGGCACTCTGGATGCTGGCCAGGCCTGCGGCTGCACAGACAGAGAGCCCTGGGCGTAGCCAGAGTCTCACTGAGGGGCAGGGAGGTACCTCGTGGGCGGGGCCAGCAGTGGCCTGGGGTCTAAACAGGTGCCAGGAGACTCGGACTGGGTATGGCCCAGCCCCTGGAGCAGAGATGGGGAGACCGAGGTCCAGGGAGTGCGGCAGCCGGGTCCCCAGCATCCTGTGGCTGACCGTGCAGTCGATGCCAGCAGAGGCCCAGAATTTCCAGCACCCAGCTCTCCTAGAGTGGATCTGCTACCCGTGGACCCCACGGTCCTTCTCATCTTGTTGCCAAGGCCTGGGTCGAACGGGGAGGGCATCCCCTTCTGCATGAGCTGAAGTCCCTGGGCCCCAGAGCTGGGCTGGAGATGCGGTTGTCCGGGGGGAAAGAAACTGCTTCCAAATTTTTATATTAATTACATGTTGAAATGTAATATCACACACACACACACACACATATATATAGGGTTGAATAAAATGTGATTAAAATGGTATACTTGAATCTTCCAAGATACTTTATGGCTGTAGACAAGATTGTGTTGTTGTTGTTTTTGAGATAGGGTCTCGCTATGAAGTTTAGGTTGGTCTTGAACTCACCTTCTAGCCCCAGCTGGCCTCCGATTCACTGTGATCCTCCTGCCTCAGCCCTCTGAGTGCTGGGATTATGGGTGTGCGCCACCACTCCAGCCATGTGCTTTTTGACAGGCGTCTGAGCCATCGGTCGTGCTAAGGTAGTTAGATGTGCACAGACACAACATGAACCTTGGACTTGCGGTGTTATTCCGTGCGGAATGTCACTGCCTTGTGCGTGACAGGCAGGGTTTCTGCAACTTCACAGGCTCCACCCCAGCACGTAAAGATGTTGGGTTTTTATTTGCAGTGCTGATCAACCCTAGGGCCTCGTATTAGGCAAGTGCTCCTATCCCTCAGCCGGGCGCCTCCCGGAGTGGCAAAGCCGAACGGAGGACACAGTGTCACTGTCAGACTTGGGTTAGGAAGAGGATGGACTTGGTGAGCAGATCATAGCCGCCGCACCAAAAGAACAGTCCTGAAAGCACTCAAAACTAGCCAGCCCTGTGGGCTGGGGATGTAGCTCAGTGGCACCTTGCCTGCCTGGCACATGCAAGGTCCTGAGTTCAATCCCTGATGCACAACAACAACCAAAAAAAAGCCTATTCAGCTCTGGATCCTGAAGACTGGCTTCTGCTTTTCTAATAAGTCGTAATGTTTATGTCCTAAGCCGGGTGCATTTTGCGTTAATTTTTATGAGACCTGAGGTCATGGTTCATTCTTTGGTCCCAGCCCCGTCTGCCTGCTCCGTTCAGTTGCGTCTGCCTTTGTCACAGGTGAAAGCTGGGTGCTCAGGCGGGGGGTTTGGGCTCCCTGTCCAGTTCCCCGCTGCACCCGTCCCAAAGCCCAGTCCCTTTCCCTCCAGCTGCCTCTTCCAGAGTTGTTTCCGTGCCTGCCGTCCGTGACTGCGCGCAGGTCCAGTTGTGGAGAACCGGAGCCTGAGCTCGGCCCTCGCCCCGCCGTCTGGCTGGGGTGTCCAGGTCTCACCCCTCACCAGGCTCAGCTGCGCTTACTCCCTTTTCCGCAGTTGTCATGTAATGTTGGAGCTTCAGGGGAAGCGGGGCTCCGTCACCGTCACTGGGAGGGCCGCCCGAGGGGACGCAGCAGAGCCAGGTGGGGCCCAGGCTTCCTGTTTCCAAGAAATTCCAGGCAGCAACAGTGCTGCCGCTCCTGATCCAGGGACCACACTTGGGAGACCCACTGGTGGAAGGTGGGTTTCCCAGGACTGGTGGTTACCATGGCCACACTCACTTTTCAGTCCTTTCCTCTCCTTGTGCCTGAACTGAGATGCCACTTTCTGCAGCCCCTCGTTTGGGGACCTCACGGCCTGTGGGAGTCTGGAGTGACTTCTGCAAAGAATGTTGGGAGCAGGAAGGGGCGGCCTCCGTCAGGAGAGCAGAGACTCTGAAGAGACCCGTGTTGCTGCTCCCTGCCCGGGGGATGGTGCGCTCTGTCCCTGCACCTAGCGGACATGTCAGAGGCCACGCTTGGAGGGCTGTCACAGGCAGGCATGGTACACGGGTAGAGTGAGAGTGAGGCTGGCACTCCAGGTCGGGTCCCGCCCTTGCTGTAGCTTCTTCCAAAGCCGTCTCCGTGGGGTCCGCTCCTGGTGGCCCTGCGGGGAGGGGACGTGTCCACGGGGTGTGGAAGACGTGGCTGACCGAGACGCGGAGTAGGACAGGGCCAGGGAGAGGTAGCCGGGCCCGTGATTTACCTGGGCTTCTGTGACACGTGAGACCAGGACAGACCCTTTTCCTGCCCTCACTGGCGGCTTCTGTGGGGACCCTATTCTGCCGGGCCTGGCTGTGGGTTTGGGATGGCCTCCTGTGACCCTGCATTTCCACCACAGACCCTCCGGCTGTTTACCCCGGAGAGGCAGGGCAGGAAGGAGGATGCAGGAAGGATTCGGGGTGCGGATTGTTACTTGGGGGCACAGATGGTGCGTTTGCTTTATGTTCTGCCCCAACTGTGAGGCGAGTGTTTTTATTTCCGTTTTTCAGTTTAGTAGTCTGAGTCCCAGAGTGGACTGTGGCTGGGTTGCTCAACAAATATATGTGTTGATGGGAGGTCAGGCTGTGCTCAGCTGCCTGGGATGGACAGGCTCCTGGAGTGACGTGCCAAGGACAGATAGGAAATAGACACGGGCAGATGTGACAGGGGCTCATGTGGGAGAAAGAGAGCCCCCCATGATGCCGTGCTTGCTTAACCTCGGCATTTCTGAGGTGTCTGGCATGGGTGAGAAGCTGAAAGAAGTCTGGGTTGGACATGGCTGCCCCCAAGAATTCCTGGCCAGGAGGGTGGGGGGCTGAAGATAAAAAGTGGCTTTTCAAAATGGTGTCTAGAAGCCAGATGTGTTAGCTCATGCCTGCAATCCCAGCATTCGGGAGGCTGAGGCAGGAGGATCACTGCACGGTTGAAGCCAGCGTGACTACAAAGTGAGTTCAAGACCAGCCTCAACTACATAGCAAGAGTCTGTTGAAAAAAAATATATATGGTCTCTAGTTTTTACAAATGGAAACTGATGGCTCGTATGAAAATCAGTCTGAGTTCCCAAAGACTGGGAGTTGTAAGGCTGTTCAAATCCATTGCTTTTATTTTAAAACAGTGTTTGGTTGCGAAAACATCTCAAATGACCTCTAATCAGGAGGCCCCACTCTTTGTTCCACTGAAAGTACAGTGGAACATCCCTGCACAGTCCAGAAGAGGCCTTGGTAGGAGTTTTTAAAAGTCGAGTTCATAGCTGGATCCATGGTACACGCCTGGGAGGCTGAGGCAGGAGGACTGCGAGGTGGATTGGAGGTCAACCTGAGCTACACAGCCAGATGCTGGCACCCAAAACAAAAAAGATTAGATAATTAGGTTGCCATGGTAAAAGCTCCTTGCTGATTGGCTCTTGTGTCCTGGACAGGTGTCAGAGATGGCTGAGGACGGCAGTGAGGAGATCATGTTCATCTGTGAGTGACCGTGGACCTGCGGGCTGCTTGCTGGTGCTGGTGCTGGTGCTAATGGGGTCCCACACTGTGCTGTGGGTGTGGCCTGACCCGGAGGCCTTTCCCGGAGGAGGGGGGCACAGTGCAGCACAGTGCAGAGGCAGTGCTTAGTTCAGAAAGCCCGTCCACGAATGAAAAAGCGGGAGGGACACTAGCTTTAGGATAAACAGGTGACTGCTAAGGATCCCGGTCCTGGGGACACTGATTGTGGCCACCACGCCGGCTACAGTGCCGGGAAAGTGCCCAGGAAGGCTCCTCCTCGGAAGGCGTGTCCTGTTTCTGCTGTCCTGCAGCCTCACCCTGTTGGGTGTGTCCACCTTGCACCTCAGGCCTCTGGGTCACCCCACCCCGGCAGGGTGTCCCCTTCCCTGACCCCACCTCTGCCTGTAGGGTGTGAAGACTGCAGCCAGTACCACGACTCCGAGTGTCCTGAGCTGGGGCCCGTGGTCATGGTCAAGGACTCCTTTGTGCTGAGCAGGGCGAGGTGAGTGGCACTCCAGAGCCAGGTCTGAAGGAGCAGGAGCTCCAGGCGGGGACCCCAGGTGGCCGGGTGGCTGGGTGGCGGCGACGCGTTGCCCTGCGAGGTGTGCTGGTGCCCCAACCCCTCAGCGCCATTCCCAGGCCTGCGGCCGTAACCACCCACCGAGTAGGTGTTTCAGCTCACCGGGCCGTAATCCCTGCTGCACAACTTTGGGGTCCTGCTGCCCACGAGCAGCCGTTGAGCCCATTGCTCGCTCGGGCGGGACCCTCGAGGCGCCTGGATCTCAGGCCCTGCGCCCCTGCACCCCGTGTCCCCTCACTTCTGGATGCTTCTCGTGCTGCCCCTGGCCTTACCCTGTGCCAAGGTCCTAGCCCTTAGTCCTGTGCCCTCCTCCCACACGGCATCCTGCCTGTGACCCGGCCTACTTAGCAAGCCCACATCCTTGGGAGACCAGCCTGCCTCAGCCTAGCCAGAAACCCTTTCCTGGTCTCCACAACACTTGGCTCCTGGAACCGTGCCGCTCCCCCGCCTGTCCCCCTTGGGATGCCTGCACCGAGTTCTTGTCTATAGCACCCACACCCAGAATCCTCAGGGGTTTAGTAAACCGCTGCTCTGCCACAGGCCCTGGCAAGTCCTCCCTGACCTAGGCCCCTTTAGCGGCACTGAGGCCACTGGGGGATGACTGCGCGTGGGCTGCAGTCACTGGAGACTCCAAACATAGAAGCTGACCCAGGGGTGCGGGCGTCTCCGAGTGCTGTCCTTGCCCCCAGGTCCTCCCTGCCGTCCAGCCTGGAGATCCGGCGCCTGGAGGACGGGGCCGAGGGCGTGTTCGCCGTCACCCAGCTGGTCAAGCGCACGCAGTTCGGCCCATTCGAGTCCAGGAGGGTGGCCAAGTGGGAGAAGGAGTCTGCGTTTCCGCTGAAGGTAACGGCGCTGCCTGCGGGGCAGGGTGGTGAGTGTGACCCCACTCTGGGTCACCCGCGTGCTGGGGACACCAGGCCAGTCCAAAGCCTGGCCACCCCAGCCCGGCGTGGTGCTGCACGCCTGTGACCCTAACACCGGGGAGGCTGAGGCAGGAGGATCACTGTGAGTTGGAGGCCAGTCTGAGCCCAGCGAGACCGTCTCAGAAAAACGAAAACAAGGTTCAGGAAAGACCCTGAAACCTGAGCATCCTCCCCAGCAGACAGAGTTAAGGCGGGAAGAAAGGCCCTCGATGTGTTAAAGAAAGTGGGAGTGGAGGCAGGCGGGCGGGCCGGTCGGGGTGCGGGACGGA